CTTACCACTACTGGTAATATTAGTGTCATGTAGTTGGTGAAAGCATGTGTATTATAAGCAGTGTGTCCTTACCACTACTGGTAATATTAGTGTCATGTAGTTGGTGAAAGCATGTGTATTATAAGCAGTGTGTCCTTACCACTACTGGTAATATTAGTGTCATGTAGTTGGTGAAAGCATGTGTATTATAAGCAGTGTGTCCTTACCACTACTGGTAATATTAGTATCATGTAGATGGTGATAGCATGTGTATTATAAGCAGTGTGTCCTTACCACTACTGGTAATATTAGTGTCATGTAGATGGTGAAAGCATGTGTATTATAAGCAGTGTGTCCTTACCACTACTGGTAATATTAGTATCATGTAGATAGTAAAAGCATGTGTATTATAAGCAGTGTGTCCTTACCACTACTGGTAATATTAGTGTCATGTAGTTGGTGAAAGCATGTGTATTATAAGCAGTGTCTTGTTACCACTACTGGTAATACTAGTGTCATGTAGATGGTGATAGCATGTGTATTATAAGCAGTGTCTCGTTATTGCTCCTATCTGTAAATGTTTAAGAACCTTAACTTCATTAGTGGATCAGTCAATATATCTGGCTGCCTTAGTGTTGTGAAGATTGTTTATGTTAACCCTTTTGAGATGGGGCACAGGTGAAAAGCCATGTCATCTCGTTTGGTGACTCGCATTCAAAATTTTATTGAACTACTATTTCATGAATTATGTGAATAACTTTGGTATCAATATGTATATTATAATTCAAATTTTAGTACTATATATTACTCAATTTCTTAATTTGAAAGCAAATATTAAAAAACAGTTAAACACAGTTCATGTGGTATGTTGAATGCAGTACTGGTTTAAATTAGATGTTTGTGAAGCCAAAATACTAAGTTTACAGTTTTGTACGAATTAGAAACTCAAATTACCAGTATTGACAAGCTAGAATATATAATAAGAGTCTCTTATCTTTTCAGTTTGCTAAGATATCGCTCATGTAATAAATCAAACACAGTGGCACCCCACCCACCTCTTTCCAGTTTTGG